TTTGTTCAAAATTCGGTGAAGGCCTCTTATGATATTATTTCTCAGCATATATTGCATAGTTTGGACCAAGTTTTAAATGTTCACTTACGTGGCAGTTCACATAATTATTGGAATATCATCACTATGACCATCGGAGCCATCGCGGGTGGATTTTTATTTGTAGCTGCTTGTTTGATGAGGTGCTGATTGTATATGGGGTACGAAAGGCGGGTTCATCTATTTCCTTATGGTAGCATCAATTCATTACATATTTTAAAAATGTCAGTTAGGGGAGGGGGGGGGGGGTTCTAGCCTTAGTTGATTTGTACATTCCGCGCTATGTGTGCTGGTCATGTAGCAGTGGAGGTTGTGTCTGATTCATCTAATGGCTTGTATCGAGCCCATCGACACAGATTGGGTGGTGGAAATGACTTCCCATGCTATTAAATATCAGTTGGCTTATAGACGATCGACGGAAATTTGATAAATTTGAAATGCTTCTACGAGCTTTTCCCATAATGAACGCTTTGATAAGGTAAACACGCGTATGATTTTATTTGTTGACTTCCCATTGCTTTAAGTCATGTTGGATCTTATCTCGAGCGTTCATTATAAGTCAGTTTTGAAGTTTTTTCTATCTTGGGGAAAATTATTTTTTGGCAAAGTATTACTTATCACTCATTAGAAAGATGCCAATTAAAGAGAAAAGTTTTAATGTAACATTTAAATGTATTTGGAGTGCAAGTTAAACGTTTTAGGTTGCATTTTAAGATCAAGCGGTGGTTAGACATTTGTCATTTCTAATTCTGATTGAAAGTAGAGGCGTATTAGATTGGGTAGTTCGCTAGAACGCTTATGGCTGGTGTAAATTAGTATTTGCATCTTTACCAACAGCAGTGAATGTGCTTATTCTGTTCGATTATTACTTTTATCCATTTACTTCCTTTGGCAGTCGGACTGGTTCCACCCCTCCCTCTCGAAAGGTGAGACGGAGAAAGTGTTCACTTCAAGTTCAGCGATGCAGGACGGCGCCTTTCTGGTTCGTCGCTCTTCCCAATCTGATCGCAAGTTCGTTCTCGTTCTCTACTACCAACGTCAGACTTTAAAATATCAAATTGAAGTTGTCGATTTCTCCTTCCATTTGGACACTAAGGAGGCTTACTTCATCGATAAAGTATGCTAAACGCTCTTTCTATTTTATTTCTCTAAATTCAAATTTCTCTGAGAATCGAGCACTTTTTACCCATTTCAACTTCACCATTGTACTTAGTGTTGGTGGCTTAATATCGCATTGTTTTTATGAATGCTCATCTAACTGTGTTCGCTCACAATAAGACACTTTAAACATGTGTGGGGGGGGGGGCTATTTTAGCGTCTAATATGATCGTTTATTGGGATAAATCTTAACTTTTCCGACTTTCTAGATTAGTTGGTGATTCAGTGTTTGACCTGTGTCCTAATTTGGCATTTAAAAGCATTTCGTTTAGTTCGAAAGAGATCCATTTTGCCACAACCTTGGATATCCCATGTGAATATTTCGTATCCCACATATTTGCGCGAAATGCAAAGCTTAATGCCTAATTTCCGGCTCTCCAGATCAAATGTAATTGTTGAATTCCTCAACTTCTATTTTAATCACCTCTTTTCCCTCTAAAAATGCCCATTTATTATGAAGTACGACTAAATTTCAAAAGAAATTGGGTGTTTATTGCGGAGTGAGGATTAGCAGCTGTGGAATGCATCACATGATTGAGAGAGTAGGCTTTTAGCTACATTTTAAACTTTCAAATATGAATCTGGAAAAGAGAACATTTTCACGGTTTCTTCTTTCATTTTCCATAACGAGGCAGTTTATCTCGGGAAAATGTTTTGCTTTACTTTATTTCCAGCCTTCACTACTCTTATTCAATAGTATCTGTTAATGTCTTCGAATAATGTCTATTATCTTGCATTGCGCTCTAGAAGAGGATTGATTGTTTTATTTTTTTCGCATTTCAAATTTTCCACCAACTCGCAGCACTGATTTTCCAAGTATTCCTGCTTCCATATGTACCAGACATCAAGTCCACGTTTCAATCGACCGAAATTAGAATGCTGATTCATTGATAGGGAAAAGGGACCTTCAGTCATAATGGGCGACAATTGGCTTTCCCATCAAGCAGTGGGCATTTGGTTATTTTTCATTACTCATGTCTTATAATGAAGAAAAAGGCATTCTTTTTCACCATAAGGTAAAAATGCAAACACTTGGCATTAGGAGTGTGTTGTACAGCATTCAATTCTGACTAATACTCTCTTGATTCTCCACTCTAGTTAATGCGCTTCTATATTTCTATTCAATTCACCAAACAATCATTACCTTGCGCGCTTGAGTTAGATTTCACAGGAGATAAAGTTTGGTAATTTTGTGATCCGATAGATGTATGGGTTCCTGTATTTATTCAAAATCTCAACTAAATTGAGTGTTTGACCGTTCATTTTTGTACTGAGTTTACATTTTTCGGATAGAGTCGGTTATTTATTGCGTTTAATTCTTTAATCCTCTCACTCTACGCGTCTGTTATACAGAGCAAACCCGCCTTTGTTTATTTTGTCCTCACCCAAGTACGGTTAGGCTTATTTTGCGTATAGCAGTTCACTAAAGCCTTTGTCCAATTAGCCATTGACTAAAGATAAATCGATGTTGTACCCGGTTTGGTGAAGAGTTCGCATCGGTCTTAATCTTCTCCAGCAGTCCTATTGTCGCTGATAGGACTGATTTCAAAGCAGATACACAAACAATTGGAATGCTAGAAGTGCCATTCTGGCCAACGTGATTACCATGCGGGGAAACATCCTGACTAATTTTTCCCGGCGTGCCTGCTCTCCTTGTTTCCGTAGGGTTTTGTTTAGCGCATGGGGAAAATTATAACTAGGTGGCATTGGAAGTCAGGAATGCTTATCCTTGAAAGTGGGAGTTAAGTCCATCTTATCCCTCGTTGACCTCGAGAATTTCGCCTGATTATAGAAACTTGCTTGCTTAGCGATTACTTGATGGCTTGTTTTTTTATTTTGCCAATGAAGTACCCCGGTTTGCGAGTATAATTGAATGCATTGCCTTTCCACTAATGCATTTACTTTAAATGCGTAATGTCTCAATCATTACCAGTACGTATTGGTATTCAAAGTATTGGCCACGCGGTTGTGGACTTATTTACAGACGAAGAGTGCTTTCAAGTTGCAGTTCTCTGTTTAAATTTGTCGTATATTTAAGATGTAATATGGTGAAAAGTCGTTTATCTAATGAAAATGTTGTGCACGAATCCTTCATTGGTTGTAAAATAATAAATAGAACTTTATGCCACAATAGACTGCCAGGTATTCGGCAAAAATATATTTTCATTTTGACCCATCGAATTCACTATCGAACTGGTTAACCAACTCGGTGGTTAATAAATCTCCTGAATCTTGCTTCGCCTGGTTTATTTTTCTGTAAGCTTAAAGCTTGAAGCATACGTAGACTTGATACTACCTCGTGCCGAATTTCCATAATTATGGTTGATAGTATTAGAATTATTCCATTGAGTTTAGATTGGGAGGTCTGACTGATGTTGTAGTTACGGTTTTGCTCAAGATATCCGTAAATATCCTTCCAAAGATAGTTTCATTTGACACAATCGCTTTAAATAAATTTTTATCCCAAACCCTGCCGCATCTATGAAGACAGTGCTTGTTAAATCGTTGATTGGGTAGATTTGTCTCCTTTGGACGTGTCGGTCTTCACTGTTTTACTTCTCTAGCTCCAACTGTGGCTGGCCGACCTTGTAAATGTCCTTCATATCAAGAAACAGCGCTTACTTATGCCTCTTGTGTTTTCACGCATACACACACACGCGGACTGCTTAATGGTTTCTTTATTGCCGAAGTAGAGTAATTTATGTCTATCATTAGGGTTTTATACATAGCCGTCCCCCGATTAATGTTATCTATGTCAAATGAAATGTTTCCTTGTCTTGTTTCTTTTATTGTATGCTTTTCCATTCATTTTTTGCTGCAGTTTCTAATGGAGCACATTTTGGGATCAGACTAACCCATTGGAGGAATACATGCAGTGGATGCATCGCATAAGTACATTGACGGAAGTGAGTGATTGAAGTTGACATCCTTTGTTAAGATCGATTTAGTTGCCATGACTCGCAATTCCATAAAAACCTTTGAGCTGAGATTCGCTTTATGCCTATCTGTAACGGCTACAATGCCATAGTGGCTAAACTTCCAAAACTTCAATTTCCTTCCTCAAGCCCCAACCACAAACGTTGAGACACCGTTGCTTGATTAAGTTAGCTTATTTGCTTTTTCCTTTGTTTCATACATACTTTTAAGAAAGGTAATCTAAATTTTGATATTTATGTTATCCGAGTGTAATCTAAGAGGCTTTTCTAATGATTTCATCATGTTTAATAGGGACATAAATATTTTTGGCTTGAAGAGTACATTTTATACAATTATCTCGCTTGCCTTTATCCTTCCAATTTTTTTTAGAATTCTTTTATATTTTTTTGGTAGTACAACTTATGAGTCACTAGCGCATAACATGGGGAAATCTTACTACTTTCCCAACCCCATACAAACTTACGAGTGGGCCAGGATACATATTGTTTCATTCTAATAGTGGTAAAAATATAAAGTGATACGTTCGTAATATATATCAAAATTACCCTAGGTATAGCGCCTTCTTGGTCGTAAACACACTTAACCACAAATGATATTGATGAGGAATAGGAAAAGTGGCTTGAATAATTGCATTTGGGAATTAAAACAAGAAATTACGCTTATTACGTAAGCATTAGACTGAAAAAATGTACGCGGTGTAGAGAAGGCGCATTTAGGTCACAGGGTTATTAAGAGATCGCTGTAAATATGGGTTCAGTAACTATATAAGTATGCTGAAGTGCTCATAACTTAATTTTCCGCAATAAATTATTAACCAGTTGCAATAAAATATTTTCTAGTCCGAATTGGCTTCATTTTGGTAGCTATAGTTTGAATAACGTGATTAACTTCCCTAAGAAATTTTATTTGCCCGTTTTCACCACCTCGTTATTTCCTTACCAGGGTCCATTCCACCTCTCGTTGGAGCACTTCATCGAGCACTACAGTCGTTTCGCCGACGGTATCCCCACTCGGTTGCGCTTTGCGGTCTCTCCCACCGGTCGATTTTTGAATATGGAGCGTCTTCTCTCCTCTAGCGTTTCCTCCTCTGCCAATCCCTCTAATCCATCTTCCTCCTCCACCTCTTCTTCTGGTGGACGTGAACTTGTCAAAGTGGGTGATCCCCACCGGAACTCTGGTGAGGCTTGGGCTCTCGCCTCGGTCTTGGCTGGTGGTCATCGGGGAGCCCCGTTGGTTGTTCAGGGTCACGCGTTTGTGTCAGGACGGCCAAAATCACAATCTGCCGTAAGTGATCCATGCTTCCATCTAATTGAATTCATGAGTCAATTCCTATTTGCTCTTAACTATCAAAAGTAATTTTTATCCTGAAAATTGGCAGATTTTGGGTAAAGCAATTGTTGTTGAAAAAGCGTCGGTTCCAAACATTTCATTACTAATGGGCACTAAAAACTAGTAACCCTCAAAATTTTAGATTTTAAAGTTCCTTCTTTCTTTTATGCGTATTAGTGATTTTTTTAGAAATTAGTGTTTGTATTTGATACCGGCTCATTTTCATAATACGAATCGCCAGTATCAAAATTATTCACCTTCAGATTTCATGCCCGAATTCGCAATTTCATCATTAAAAGTGATTTTATTCTATGGTGAGTTATGTCTCATTCTTTTTTGTATTGTATTCTGCTGATTTGTAGCTATTTAAAAGCTATCTGTGATGCTTCCATTGCCATTGCCTTCTGTCATAAATTGTGCTCCTAATCTACTTTAAATTACGAATTCCCCACTTTATTCTGGATAATTTTCGCCCATTCGAAGAATCAGAATATTTTACTCTCGGAGTGTACGCACGGCTATGGAATGTCACTTAGATTTTCAGTAGTTTTGCATCTAGTTCAAATTAGTTGGCCCGCTTTACCTGATGTGTTCCAGTTTAGTTACCGGTAAAGCATCCGTTACAGTCTTTGCCGATTATCCTTTATTGAGGTATTAGCATTACCAACTCTATTTTCCGCCCTATCACTTCCTCTCTCTCTCCTCCTCGATGTATCTTCAGTAGTGGTGTGTGCCTACTAAGTACCCAAAGCTCACCCTTTTATCTTGTCTCCTATTTATAGTTGTGACTCATCTGATCCACAGATACACTTAGATTGATTAATGACAGTCATTTAAGCTTCCGTTTAATTTCTCCCTCCACTTCACCAACCTCCAGAGATTGCAAATTTGAAATTAGTGAAATTCTCCGATTTGTTTTTTTCTCTGTTTTCTTTCCGGTTTGCAAGCCATGTACACTTGCCTGCATGAGCATGCTGAGCATGAATTTGGTGTATTGATATGGAACTTATCTTCCAATCTGAGTTCTACTCTTTTCTGTTCGCTGGTGTTCTGGAAGGATATGCCTGCAATCGTGCGGTTTAGAGAATTTCATATATCCGGTCCATTTTGTTATCTTGGAGTCAGTTTTGCACAAAATTGCTCGAGCACACTTACGTCTTGGAATTACTAATGTAGAATTTTGAAAATTTGCTAATTAGTTGCCTTTCTAGATTTACTGCAATATTCGTGAAGATGTTACTTGCCCTGGCGTGAAAACCACCTCAACATTTAGTGGAACGAGGTCAAGTCGAGCATGTGGGAATTAGGTAATTGGTAAACGAGGTAGAGGTCTGCAGTGATTTGTTGCTGATTTGCTAGATCGTTTCTTAAATGCGCCGATAATGCCAGGATTAAGGTTCCTGAAAAGTGGTTTTTCTGTTTTCCTATTTAATTTTGTTTTTTGTTCATTTAGCTCTCGTCATCCGAATTAAAAAGTTTTTTATTCACGACTTTAAATTTTTTTGGGCAAAGTAAAAAAGCTTAATCGTGTGATGTTTGGGATTTTGAAAGTGGATGGGAGTTTAGCCAGTCACGTAATACCCATATTTTCTCATTTGCCTTGATGAATTACTCTTTCGTCTATGTTGAAGAATGAATCTCTTAAATTATTTAAATTAGCGATTTATCCTTTGCATGTGTTGGCTTCGTTCATTGGCGTGTTGTTACTCTGTTATCTACTTGTAGCTCTCTAAGTTCGAGTTCCGTGGGTTTTAAGTAGCAATTTCAAAGAATTGTTTTTGTTCTAAGTTCAAATACTTTCGTTTTAAACTTAACTCTAACTTTTTTACATTTTATTACCGTTCGATCACTGTTAGGTTGTTTGGAGGCATATATATATATATATATATATACATATTTTGGCAGTTTGTAAGTCTTAAAATCATTGTGTGTCGACGGTTCGGCTGTGTCATTGTGCTAAAGGCAAATGACAAGTTAACTCTTCCAAAATAAAACAAAATTTGTTTGACCATTGGTTGTTGTTTTTTAAATTAATTTACTTTTACAGGTGATGGTCTTGATGCAGTTGATATTTTGCATTGCCAAATCAGCTTAAGATACGCGTATGAGTAACGGATGTTTAACAGGCAGGATAGACCAGTTAAGAATGAAGCAATTTGAGAGTTACTCTATGTGTTGAAAAAGGCAGCTTCAGGCGTCTGCCAGACCAATACGCCTATTCATCTTATTTCTTCACCTTTGAAGAGCAAGCGAAACAGCAGTTCGAGTTCTGGTCTCTCGAGTAGTGGTACGGCGATGGTCGCTTCTGGTGGAGGTGGCGTTTTGCAATCAGTTCCTTCTTCTGTACTAGGCACGGCTGGCGGTGGAACGGAACTCCGGCTTATCCCCAGTGATGCTGTCATTCTCCTCTGTCGTCTTGGGGAGGGAGAATTCGGTGAAGTCTATTGCGGCAAACTGCATCTCGAAAATGGTGTCACTCATGATGTTGCAGTTAAGGTGAGTGAAAACTGAAATATGTTTGCACTGAAAACTTTACTTATAAAATCTAACTCAGATTGGTGGGATACTCAAACTTTGAACTCTCCTTCTTCCTTTCTTCCGAGCATTTTATCAATACAACTGCTCTGTCACTTTAACCCAATCTCCCTTAATGGGCTGAGAGCTCTAACTTCATTTTGTATATTTAAGCTACCTTTGTGATAGAATCATTGTGGATGGAAATAAGTTGCTGCATAAAGTTTATGTTTCAAGTGTGAGGTAATCTTAATGTGTCTTTTTGCTGGGAAGTGCAAATGAAATCACTGATCATTAGGAAATAAAGAGACGTTCCTATATGCTCAGTTTCTACTTTTTCATCCTTTTCCTAATAACCGGTCTATATTTACGTACTTCTGGTCTTGTGTGTACTTTCCACCTACATTGTACTTTAAGTTTTTTAATCCAAGTTATTAATTGTGAAGAGGGTACCTTTGGGGGTACCCTAATACGATGAATGAATGACCTTGTTTTGAAAATTTCATTCTCTTACAATACTGTATTATTATGTCTGTGCTAGTTTTGAATATTTTATTTGGAATACGTTTTCCTATCACGCGTTGTCATTTTGATTAGTCAGCTTTCACTTTGGGCTTAAAAAGGAGAGAATGAAATTTCAGATGTTGTTAGCGGAAGGAAGTAGACTACAGATTAGATGCCCACTTCCTGTGCTAGAAGAATAATAAGCATCCGGTTTTGATGAAATAATGTTTATTTAGGACTCGAGATAGACTTACAATATCTACACGATTACTCCGTAATCTCACCTCCTTTGGAGTTAAGGATTACTCATCGTAATGAGAGAGTAAGCCAAAGTTAGAGTTGCTTATATGTTTGAGCGTATGTGTATAATTACAGTACTCAATGGCTACCTTCCATCGGGATTTCAGACCATAAAGGGGTACGCAAATGAGAAGCCTTTTGGCAGTGTAATGTGTCATGGTTAGTCACCAAAATAAGCATTTCTAGCGTAATCATATATTACTCTAAGTAATTTTTAATTTCAGAATGATGGTACTCGTCACATAGAAGGTGACTGAAATAGAGAAATTCCATTTTTGCGACAATGTGATTTATTCTTTCAATCCTCGGCAGCACTTGCTTTTTAACCTAATCTCATCAAAGTCGTCTACTTGACCCTTTAATGCTCCTATATCCGTTAGGTTCTCATCCAAAGTAAGCTCAATTGGTACTAGATTCGTAACAGAAGGTGCTATTGCTGTTCAAAACATGTTCGATTCGCCCCTAGCCTTCTCCTGATACCACCAAAACTCATCACGTCGGCAGCATCAGTCTGATGTGAGACACTTGCAAGTACGATCGGGTGCTTTTTTTCAGAAAAAATATTATTCGGGCGTTAAATGTTTAAGTGATTCTGGAAAATTGAGAGACTCGTGTTTTTTAATCGTTTTTTTATTTATTTCAAATTGTAGGCGTTTCGTTAGTTATCATTACCCCTTTAGTTGACTTCGAGCTTCACAGAGGGGAGGAACAGACAAAGTGAAAAAGTCGAGAGGGGGGATATAAGAATGGATCACAGATGTAAAAGGGACAGACAGACACAAAGGTAGAGGAAAAGGTATGGTCTATCCATATCAAATGTTTTATTTTAAATATAAAAAAATTCACTGATAATGCAGTGATCATGGCCTTGATGTTATTTGGCTCATGATTAATCCACTGGCTAAAATTGGAAGGTAATTTGGACGTAAGAATCCAAACTCAGAATAACATTCCTTTGGGTATAATACAAACCCCTTCTCTTAAGAGATTTGAGAATTTTCATTAAATGGCAACTATTTCACTAATGTTATTGTAAATTTCACTCTAATCTTGCCAACTTTAGTTATCGACATTATTATATTTAGTGTGTTTGAAAAAGTTATCTTTTGTACTTTACAACAGATATTCGCATTCCTGCACAACCAGCCGGTTAATATGTTTATATGATGTTGTCCAACGTGATGAGTAAACTATGTAAATTTCCAACAACTTCCACCTGAAAATTAAACAAAATTTTTGATCCGTTTGATCTGAACCGACCCAGTTGTGGGAAGCTAATAGATTTTTATCCCTGGTTGAAGCTACTTGCCTTTATAGTGAAAATGATTAATCTATTTGTTATGTGACTTTATTTTATAATCACGGCAAGGTAAGTAGATGCAATTTTCTAATTATTTGAAACTTTCTAAACTCGAGGAATAATAAAGTAGTCTAAACAAAAGGTTAACGGGGGTCAAGTAAAGCTAACTCGGGGTGTCAGAAGAACCTGACTTCATCTAAAGTCTTCTGGGTTTATTAAATTTTCTGCTTTTGGCTTGTTAAATCATAAGTTTAAATTTCAGGATTTGATCCTTGTAATTGATATCATTTGATAACCCAGGGGCTGTTCAATCATGTGTTGAATATGTCGATCCCCACCAAACCCTGGATAATGATCTCTCGATCAGCTGCTTTTCTACTTTCTTTTTGTACACCTGGACCCTTATCCTAACAACTACCAGGCTTTCTAAGTGAAAGTAGGATAGTCCTTTATTATAAATTTGTTTGTGATTCGCTTTCATCTTTTTTGAGATGAAATTAACATCCTCTTTCCCGATTGGTGGGATTCATTACTTTATTTTTGATAAATTTATGTCCAACCCTGAAAACTTTATGGTTTCTGAAGCCTGTTTTGACCGATGGGTGGAAGGTTGTTATTGAAATTAACCATAAAATAGGAAATTAATATCTTATTTTCGCTTTCCTGCATTTGACATTCGACTGACTTTGTGCTTTGTGGAAAATAAGGTGAAGATAGCAACGAATTATTGTCGACGTCTACTGATAATACTCAAGGGTTTGATATTGGCCATAGCGATTCTGATCACACGTATTTTTGCATCACCTAAAATGTGAATTTCTGTTGCTACTGCCTAATGTTATCATTTCATTTCTTCTGGCTTTCTAATCAATTCACTGCTGATAGATTGAAACTTGGTGCGTATTTCTATTTTCAATTTATTTGAGTGAATGCATGCGATTGATTAATTCGAGGAAGTCTAAATTATTAAACCATAGGCTCACACCAAATTCTCGGAAGTGGGTTGATTAGTTTAACCCAAACCCTCTTGCCTCATTTCTGTATTATGGAAAAAAGGCCCCTGAATTATCCTGTTTTCTTAAAAGACTAACCCATCAAGACACTCCTCGGGTTGTGGCTGTTAGTGGCCTTTAAAGACTCATTTTAAGCTACTTTCTCAAGTTAATTGCTTAGTGTCAGGCTTCCATATTTAGTTGTGGTAATTTTCATAGCGCTCTTGTACTTTGTTTTTTTCATTTTTATTTCTGATTTATTCGGCCGATAAATAATAAGTGGGTTCAGGTTGTTCACCTACAAACCGATTTCTGTAACCATTTCAAGTGCAAATTCTAGGCTATTAATCTTAATTAATCCACTGGGAGTAAGGTTTGAAAGAAGCGTATTTCAATTTTTAGGTCTTAGTACAACCGTGCCAACGGCTAGACTTCCTCAAGGAGGCAAGCATAATGATGCGGCTTTCCCATGAGAATATCGTTACCATCTATGGAGTTTGTGAGAACAAGCGACTCATGATGATCCTCGAGCTTGCGGAACTCGGCTCGCTTCTAGATTTTATGCTAGACTATCCCGAACGCTGCCAACTTCCCGAACTTTACAATTGGGCCATGCAGGTATGCCTCATTCTGCCTTATTGTTGTGGGAACTCAGTTTTCTAATGATTGTGGGGCTGCCATTTCGCTCACTATTTTTCTTTCAGCAGAATGTGGACATCTTGTTAGTATTTCCTGCCGCTTATTATCTATAGATGTGCCATTGTATATTCAAGCATTCGTTTGCAATGAAATGGCTTGTCCACCTCATCTCTTCTTGATTTGATTTTGCAGTTTAATTAACTATATGTTAAAAGTAATTAGTGTGTCAAAGTGAAGTGCTTTTGTAGTGGAAATTGTGTGTGACACCAGGATATCTGTTTTCTTGTGTTAGGCACTGAAACTCGTAGAAAGATACTTTATTGGAAGAAATAAATTAGGCCTAAATTACCAATAACAATGAAGTTGTAGATGTTGTTGCCAAGGTACCGAATGGTTAATCGTTCGGACAATCATTTCAATTTCCATTACGTCGTCTTAGTAGATTCGAATTTTTTAGTGACTTAGAGTTGTTGGCTTATACTGGTCTACTCGTCAGAACCAACGTGGACGCTTGCAACATTTATTTATTTATATCAAATGGCAGGCGTTTTGATGGTTATCATTAGCTCTTTAGTTGACTTCAGGCTTCACAGAGGGGAAGGAACAACAAAGTGCAAAAAAAGTCGAGGGGAGGGGAACTGAAGAGTGTTTCAAAGACGAAGATTGAAAATTTAGAAATAAATGTAATGTATTACTGTGACAGTGGTTGAATGACATACAGTGGGGGGTGATGGTAGTTTGAAGTGAGAAGTCAACTGCCAGTTAATAGACTTTTTGCCGTATGAGTATACGTTGCCCAGGGTGCGCCACGTGGAGGTAAGTCCATCGCACACCCCACGCTTGCAACATAGATATTAAATATTTCATCCCCCTCCGATTGTATTGATTTTGAATTTCTAATTGCGTATATTTGAAGCTTTTGGTACGAATGTTATCTACAGTGGTTCATGGTTCTGAGGGCGATATGTACCTCATTTTATTTTGTGTAGCAGAAGATTGGAATAGGCAAATGGTTTGATTAAAAGCTTGTCTTCTCTCCTTCTGGTTGCATGCTGTAGATGAATCCACCCAAATTTCGCCTACCACAGAAATAGCTACCTAGTCCTAGTGGAAACTATCACTTATTTATCAGCGATGTATGT